CTGCATAATTAAATCGAATAATAGAAATAATTTTATCAAAAATTTAATTTGATTAAAAAGTAATTCATTTTTTCTTTATGCGTATTCTTATTTTATTTAATTCTATAGAAATTTTCTAAATTAATCTTAATAATAAATCTAAACAATAAATGGCAGAGCCTCATTAGACCAAAGAAGTGGCAGCATTTCTCCACTGAGGTACCTCCGATCTTCACATTGAATCTATTCCAGTTATTCACCTGTGATGTGATGTGATGTGATGTGTTCTTCTCAGCAAACATATAAATGGCTGCATTAATACTAAACATAGTCCAGCTTGTTTAGAGCCTACATTAACCAAGAAAGGGAATCTATGTTCTCGGATCGCTACCATCTTGATGTTTCCAAAGTCTCTGCCTTTGACTTTTTCTATAAGCTTAGCTACTGGTGACTTTTTCTATAAACTTTTCTTTCTTATGCATGAACTTGCAGGAGTGCAGCGAACTAAGCGTGCCTGTGTTTATATCAACAAGGAATCTCAGGTGACTTGATTAGCATCTGCAACACACACATTTTCGTTTGCTTTTGACCACATTCTTATTATGCTACTTATGATTTTGCAGGTAATGATCAAACTCAAAAGCAAACATTCTCCAAGAAGATCAAATGTCCTAATCATTCACTTCATATATATTACCTGAAACGCAGACATTCTCATAGGCGTCGTCTATGGAGTCTGCGATGAGAAATCAGCTTGGCCTTGCAGGAAAGAGAGGGAAAATTCAGAAGAAGTCTACTTCGGTCTGAAGACCGGACAAGGTCTTTTGGAGTTCAAGTGCAAGAGAAAAGTTCACAAGCAGAGATGCTGGTGATCTTGCTTTGAAGAAAGAATACCTGGAATCATAGGGTCATGCTCGTTAAATTGCTCCTCCTTGATGATAACAAGTGCACCAGCATCAGAATCATTTCCAGTTTGTACAAAATATCTAAAACAAGCCGACCCGCAGAACCAATATCATCAAATTTGAACTCCAGGCTTAACAAATTATCAAACAAATGTCGATAGCGACAAAGTATATGAGCCGGTACCTGACCAGTATGCTCCTTGAACTTCTTCAACTCATCCCGCATACCGTTAATTTCGTAAACGCAAGACATGATCACAAACCTGTATGCATCCGCAATGACCTCTACTTTCGCCATTAGCTCGATAAGTTCTTGTCCTTTGAGAGAGTAACCAAATCTCACACAAGAACCAAGTAGAAGATTAAACAAGACCGTATCAGGCTTCACAACATTCCTGGGATTTGAGCACAACAAGTGTCCAAGAGATGTGAAACAAGTTACCAACACTTGAGGAGCATGATTGTTATTTTAATTTTAGAATTAGAATTTGCTTAAGTACAAGGATCAATACCTAAACATCTTTAAACTGATCAATCCCTAAACAAAACAAACAACATCGCTAAACAAACCAATTCCTAAACAGATAAATCCCTAAACAGACATCCCTAAACAAACGATCTATCAAATCCTAAACAACAAATCGACGACGTTGACATGTTGGGGGTTTTCCATCTGGAGTGAAAGGAGACGGTGGGATGGGACCGAGAAGTTTCGTTATGGAGGGCATTTCGCCTTCATACAACCTCTGCCACAACCAAGTTGCCCTTGCATAAGCTCGAAGGATAGTTTCAGTATCTGGCTGTGCAAGCAACACGATCCATCCATGTTTAACCATAAATTCCAAAGACGTGCCAAAATCCTTATCTCCGGATATAAGGAGAATTGCGAAAAAAAATACATCAAGGAGATGATTAAGAAAACTCTAACTCAAAAAGGAAATTACCAGGAGAATCATTGTTTTCGTAATGAATGAATTTCATCTCCCGAGCTAAGATTGCATCTCCTACGTCTGTTACTCGTGAATACTGATCTTGGTAGGTTTGGAACTGATGTGCTCGTTTTTGATGCTGATTCATGGCTGAGAGGCCTGAAAACACTTGTCCACAAATAACACAGGTCCTTTCTCTGGCAGGGACTTTAAAATATGCAGAGTCACAATCAAATTTGAGAAGACTAGCAAGTCTTATATTAGAGATAGTCTTCTTATCCTTATCGTTTTCATTAATAGATAAAGCGTAGAATTCACCCGAAGAAGTAAAAGACGACGACTATCATATTTCTTCAAACCTTCCTCAATCTTGTTTTTCAAAGTCAAGATATTATACCCTTTCGGAAGCGGACCATTGTCCCAATCCCATAAGACATGGGCTGGGATTGGTTCATTTCTGTTTCTGTTCCTGTTCCTGTTCCGCTCTACAATTGTCCACGCTGTTGGATCAGGAGGAGGACGACGAGGTGTGAAAACGAAAGTCGCACTGTGATCGGCATTCGGATCAAACGGTACAGCAATTCGAGCCATGAGAGGGGAGAGATCGAGAGAAACAAGGGAGAAAAGCAAGCAAATTTGGGAGAAATCGAGACGAAGGAAATTAGGGCTACATGCATCTGTCTGCCTACAGTTGGGCTCTAATTCATTTGAGTTGGGCTTTATTGGCCCCGTTTCTTCTCATTTACAATCCAAATTGACCCATGTC